GAGCAAATGGCATAATATCTTGAGAACATACAGATCAAAATACTCTATTTCATGGATTTTTGTGTCCAAGCCTGATGTGCATATTGGAAGTCGGTAGTCCATCTCTTCACAAAAAGTTGGCGATAATTGACGGTTAATCATTCACGCGCCTTTGTTTAAGGCACATAATTATATACACTGAATTCTAGACATGTAGAACCTCTAGAGCAGGTGTCGATTTTGACATGATTGCATATCTTAGCAACATAAGCTATCTACTAAAGAGAGTCAGAAACAAAGTTTTCTTTGGTGAAATTATTATTTTCCCAATGTGAAGTTTGTGTCAAAGCAATATTAAGTACATGTATGTTAAGGGTATTACCTTGTGAGGACAGGTTTTGACCTTTTTATCCCCTGAAAGTTTCTTTCTAATGGGATAAAGGCATTTGTTTGTTAACTTACCATATTCACATGTACTAGTTAGAGTGTTGCAGAGCAATGTCTCATCTTGTCATGAGGTTTTTTTTCTTGTTTTGTTTAGAATCAATAATTGTTGCAATAGCATCTCTTTTAGAGAAGAATGCAATAAAAGTCACTGTTCAGTAGTTTTAAATGTGTATGTCCTTTTCTTGTTCCATGTAAATAACAATGGCAGCAATTAAATTAGCACTACTTTGCCATCAGCCATGTTAAAAATCAATATGTGCTGCTGCATTGTTGCTGGCAGGATGGGCTCTTTTTGGGGGTGGTTCTCATTAATTTTGAGGGCAATGCTCTTCCACCGGCTTTAGATACTGGTTAGTGTTGGCGTTGGGCAAAAATACCCCTCAGTTTTGGAAAAAACTCTTGTGTAAGTGTTGTAAGGTTTACTTTTTCGAGTTGTTTTTTTTTGTAAATTGTTGAGAGTCTGTGGGATCTTTAATCTTTAGCTGCAATTATATTATTGAGCTTGTTACTCGACCTGCGTATAGAACTTTATATGTTAAATAATGCATAAAGAACTTTAGTGATGAATAATTAATCACTTGATTTGACATCTAGGTTATCTTTGGAAAAGTTAATTCGCAATGTAAATTGATAACAATTCGTTTTTTTACTTGATATATCTGTGCCTTTTGAAGAATAAAGTGAAAGAAACTTTAAACCACTTTTTTTTACATTTTTATTTCATAATTGTAAATTGTTTTTTGTGCCTTACCGTACATTGTAAGACTTTTGTGTAATCAGTAATCATATTATTTTAAATTTACAAATTATCATAGTGGAAAAAACAGCGTGCAAAGAAAGTAGTGTCCGATAGCTCAGGGCCACTGGATTTTGCTATTGGGCTAGTGAATCCTTTTTTTTAACTTGCCCGATGGTTAAGTGAAGTTTTTTGGGGAATTCAAATTAGAAAAGAACTGTAATCAACCCTGTGCATCAAAAAATGTTTTGGGGCTAGTTGAAATGACTCTTGGGCTAGTACTTGCTAGCCACAGCTTGCAATTCAGGCAAGCTGTAAAACTGACTTTCTTTGCACCCTGAAAAAAGGAACTTTGCTCAACCATAGGCAAGCACTCAAAGTGTATGAAGTACAGAGCATTTCTAAGGAAATGCAAATAATGCCTGAATTGAAACTCGATTTAAAAGAGCTAAACCAGTGTGATATCATTGAAATTGTGATGCTCATTGTGATCGTGAAAAATAATAATAATACCATTAGGAGTTATAGTACTGTTGTGTGACAGCCTCAACAATCTTGAGGCAGACCTTGAGATTGTAGGGTTGATAATTAACAATGAGTATCTTATGAAGAATTATGGAGATCGAGGAGGGTGTTATTTGTCGAGGCCTTAGGCCGAGGCAGATAACACCCTTCAACATCTCCATAATTTTTCATATGATACGAAAGCCGAATTCATTAATTGTTTTATTATTCATTCAGAATAATTCCTAGTTTAATAAACATAGCTAAAACATGCCTACCTCCATCGTTGTTAAGTTCATCTTCGATAGTGTACATTTAGGTTTGTCCAGCTCCGCAAACATTCTCCAAATAGCACATGTTACCCTCCAAGTTGTCTTGTTGCTGTCTTTGCTATGTTTTTAGCTATTATTTCGCCTAGTTCCAGCTGTAGTTCTTACTCTTGAAACAAGTGAAGTGTCGGCCATTTTTGTTTTCACACCTAAACAACTCAACCTCTTTCCCAGGTCTTCTCGGTTAAAGGTGCATTAACCTAGTGTAGCGGGCTGCATTTTTGATGCCATTTCCTCGTTAAACACAAAAGTCTTCTTCTTCTTTTTTTATTATTTCACATCTCTTTCCATTTCAAGGGTGGAGCAGAAAGTGGAATGACCTGGTCAACAAAGGTCCTGAGTATGGAACAGTGAAAAGTTCCTGGCTAAACATTACTAGTGAAGCAGATAAGCTAGCTGAGATTCACAATGAACTGCAAATCAGACTTGTTAACCAAGTCCATGGGAATGTACAGAAGTGGAAGTCTGCAAACTATCATAAATCACTACTCAGCTGGAAAGAAACCAAAACTGCAGAGGAGGGATTCAGTAAAGCTCAGAAACCTTGGGCTAAAAGACAAGATGAAGGTAATAATAATAATAATAATAATAATAATTATAGTAATAATAATAATAATAATAATAATAATAATAATAATAATAATAATAATAGATAATAGATAATAATAATAGTAATAATAATAATAATAATAATAATAACACTTATCCACATTGTCATAGCTGTGCCAGTGGATCAGATCCCACTGAAAGTCCATGCTGATGATGCATCACTACCCAGATCCTTGTAGTGCTTCTGTTTGGTTGAAGCAAATTTCCCATCTGGCATGACCAATCAGAAGCACTACCCAGGTCTGGGTAATAATGCATTATCAGTAACAAATTTCTGCACCGGTTTCTCAGACAACATTTTTTGGAGAAAACAGTGGTAGCGCTAGCATTGCAAAATGTGGGATGTTTTCTCAGGTTATCCCCTCAGCAAACTTGCTGTTTGCTGGCTACATGTACATGTAAGCTAACGGGGCAGCAGTAACCCTATCAGTCAAGTTCAGAAGCATTTAGTGTTTTGTGAAAAGACTTACAAATATTCAGATCGTGTAATTTTTTAATATTTCAAAAACACATGGAGCGGATGCTTTATACATGGACATTTCACATGTTGATTTTTACTTTAGTTTTGAAATACAAACGAGCATACCACCAAGCCTGCAAAGTTAGAGACCAGACAGAGAGGCTTTATAAAGAAGCGTGCGTTGAAGGAAGCACAGTCAACGAAGAACAAGTAAAGAAACTGAAAGATAAATCTGAAAAAGCTGCTAATGATGTGCAAGTCACCAAAGGAAAGTATGAAGAAAGTCTAAGGGATATTGGAAATTATAACCCAAAGTATATGGAGGATATGCGTTATGTTTTCAACAAATGCCAGCAGTCTGAAGAGGAGAGGAAGAATTTCTTTAAGCAAACATTACTTAATTACTGCCAGCAGATGTCATTAGCACCACACTTTAACAGGTTAGTCCCATAAATGATGTGACCCTGATCTTGCATCAGGGGCACCCAACGACAGTTTCCTCCTAAATAAATTGAAAACACTTTTTAGGCTGTCCAGAGTACTTTTAGATCTCTAGAAATGCTTTCCATTAAAAAGGACGCCATGTTCGGTCATCGCAGGGCAACTTGAGTCTTTTCTAAATTATAAACAGTAGATTATTTTCCTGAAAATTTTAGATGCAATTTAAATTCTTGCAAAAGTAAAAACTTTTCCGATTCCTCTCTCCGTCGCATTTTCGAATCCGAAAACTTGTCCAAGAAAAATAGCTTAGCCTGAGGAGTAAAATGCGAAAATTAAAATTTAAAAAATCGTAGGAAATTTAGTTTCGAAATTGTACATGAATTGAACGATCCTATAGAAATTTTTAGCCTTTCTCAAGCTAAAGAAAATTCTAGGTAATTTTTGCTTCTCCGAACAGATCTTTTACAGAAGACAGTCGTTGGGTGCCCCTGTTGCATGGACACACGGAATACTGTAAACATCGGGTTTTAGGTCGTTTGAATCCCATATTTTTTTGGAGAGATCATCACTCCATTCAAAGACATGCTGCAAAACAATACATTTTCGTGAAATAATAAAATTTTGTCGAATAATAAATCGACAAGTGTTCTCCAATACCTACTGAATGATTGTTTGTAGGACGGGTCCACCATTTTACCTGGTCATCCGTGCCACGCGAAGGTCTAGCTGTCCGCAGGGCAAAGGCAATACCTTCATTCTCAGTTATTGTAAGACCTTGAGTATTGGTCCGGCCCCATCAACCCCGCGACCACCCACCGGGGTGGAGTACTTCCTGATACATGTGAGAGGCTGATGGGGATGTGCTGCTGGATGGGGTCGAATTTGACTATAATGGGGTCGCACATTTTCTGATTTTTGGGGTAAGACAGTTCTCGATATTTACAGTTAGCAAACGTACCAGAATGTTTGTACTGTAGGTCATTTTAGGATGACCTATTTAAAGGATTGATAAGGTAGATACTTAGATAAAAAGTGACTAAGTTGGAATAAAAAAAAATACCGCCCTTGCCTAAAATTGATTAAAATGGAGTCTATAATTGGCCGCAGAATAGATTGTAAAAGGAGAAAGGGCTCTGAGAGGCCAGCGGCACATACACAGCTAAAATTACCCCTAGTACCCCCCCCCCGGGACCTCCCGCTCTGCATTCAAACGTCCTACCGATTGAGCTAATCCCTGCCGCTTCCTGTACATGTACTTGTTATATTGTGTTAACTTGCCTTTGATTGTGCAGGATATCCAGTATCTACAGTGAACTGAATGCAGCTTTTGAAGCAGCAGACGTCCCCGCTGATATTTCTTGGTGGTCTGTTAACTGTGGGGTTGACATGCCAACAAAATGGCCAGAATTTGAGGTAAAAATAAAACGTGTTAAATTTCCACATTTACCGTAAATGTGAAGGTGTTCAAATTTGCTCTAGTCTTAAGACTAGTGAGCACTCTTAGTTATGAAACTAGTTTTCAGATTCGGTACAAATTAAATACGTTTACAAATCCAAATTTAAAAATAAAGAATTCCCTCTCTTTCTCTGTAAGTTATATATTGGCAATAATGATAATGATAATAATAGCAATAGTAATAGTAATTTAAAAAAAACGCGCAGATCTGAAAATATGTTTAGTTTGGATAATGCTAAAAGATCTAGAAATTTCAACTTCATTGGGTAAACTGTTGCACCATTTTGATGCGCTGTAACTCCTATTCTTTAGGCCGCAATAGGGGATCTAATTTACCTTAGGTCCAATTTTATGGTGACCTTGACTCTGTACGAGAAGCATCCCACTTCATTAGGTCACGGAAACTACCAAGTCCGATATTACTTGGCCCGTTTATGTGGAGAAAAAGTCACTCGCCTACCCGAGCTACCCTGGGCAAGCCAGCTTTTCATACATTTTTTCACAAAACGTGGCGAACCATTAACATGAGAAAAAGATGTTAGCTCGCTTTGAAGGGTGACCAACTTTTCTCCATTTTTCAACACTTTGGCTCGGCCAGCCGAGTCAACTTTAACAAGCGTTTACGCAAGAAAAAAGTTGACCCCCTTTGCCCGAGCCAGCAACGTTTATGCATGCTCTGATTGTCTAAAACACCACTCGCAAACCCTCTGATTGTATCGTGGTGACCGAGGTGACCCGGTTGGGCGAGCCAGAGCACGGTTTTTATGGAAAAAAGTCGACCCGGCGTGGAGGGTCACCATGCCATCACAAAAGGGTGACTCGGCTAGGCTGGTCATCATTCTAGCCGAGTCAACGTTTTGTTTCTCATGTAAACGGTTCGGCACGTTTTTAAGGAAATGTATGAAACGTTGGCTCGCCCAGGAGAGCTGGGGTCAAGTTTTCTCCATATAAACGGAGGCCCAGGTCAAACGTCAAACTTCACATGTGACGGACCTAATTGACTATTTTCCAATTCCCCATAATACACTCTGTCTGCCCCCCAAATTTTACATAACTTATTGTCTTAAAATACTCTTGGGAAAATGCAATACTCCCAGGAGCATTTAAAAACAATGGTTTATGCAAAATTTGGGGGGCAAACAGAGTGTATTATGTGGAATTGGAAAATAGAGAATGCTAATTAGCAAAATCTATTTTTCTCACTCATTAGCATTAGGTTCGTCAAAAGTTTGACGGTTGAACATAGCCTAATCTATTCACGGAGTCCATCTTTACTGACAAAAAGGCGATCACCTAGCTGGCTTAACTTTTAGAGTATGCTGATCAGTTATAGTGTTCACCCGTTCGCAACAAATTACTGAATTAAATAACAACGCAAAATGTACATTAATATTCCAGGAATACACAGGACAAGAGGAGCAGCAACAGACAGTCATACTACAGCAACAACAGACAGCTGTCAATCAAAAAGATACCCCTCAAGCAGACTCTAGTTCCCCTGGAACCAAAAAGAGTTCTGTTTGTACGACACTATAAATTCAGCGGATTTAAAGAAAAAAATGAGGAAAAAACAAGAATACAGTATAGTATTTCCTTCACTCAGTCGTAGGTCTGACAGACGATGATACATACACAGCATTGTGTTGATTAAGCTTGCGTGTTTCATAGTTTTTTTCTTGTTTTACGTAGACGTGATTTGATATCATGTACTGAGTATCGCAATTTTTCATATACAAAACACTTACAGATTTTACAGTTAATTGTTAAAAGAAAACATGTACATATTCATTCCAGTCATTTTTACGCACGTTCTGGAAACATTTTAAATGAAGGTAGTAATATAACTATACAAATAGAAATAGTGCCTGTTTTAGAGCTGTCATACCGTCTGCTGATTTTTTTGAACGATCACTTACAAGTGTAAAGTATCCTGGTTTTAAGTTAACTTTAGGGAAACCACGATGTTCGCGATAAACTGCTAACAGTGTACAAATTTTCAGTAAGATTTAAAACCTTTTCAGTTCTCTATTTTCGAAGCCTTCATAATACACTCCGTTTGCCCCTTTATTAGTTTTGCATATCTTATTGTTTTCAAGTGCTCCTGGGAAAACTGAACACCTTATTACATGAAATTTTGGCGACACGTTAATTTAGCGATTTTAAAAGATCCTTATTTAGCGGCACTTAAATTTAGCGATTATTCGTAAATTTGGAACATAAGTCACTTAATTTTCGCGATTTCATGAACTGAAACTTTAGCGAATTAAGGTATTCAAGACTTTTACTACGACAATAGAACATGTATGTCATAAAAATCATAAACGTCAATAGCTTCATTTAAGACCCCGCCCACACACATCTGGATCTTTCCGAATTCAAAAATTTCCACGTCCACACGTATTCGTATTCAAATCGAATTTGCCCGTCCACACGCATCCGACACGTAACTGGAGTCACCCTAGTACTCAAGATTCCTCTTGGAATATTGGCAACGGGGAATGCTACGAATAGCGCGCGAAATTTTTATCTTGCTCTGCCT